CTCAGCCTTTCGTCATGTTCTGCACGAGTAGACCCCCAGACTATGATGTCATCCATCATTGTTTCTACCCCTGGTATATGCTCAAAAATCATGTGAATAGTCTTATGGTAGACTTCAGGTGCTGATAGGATACCATACGGCAGACGAAGAAACCTGTACCTGCCCTCAGGTGTGTTGAACGTGCACAGCCTTGAGCTCTCCTCATCTAGCCTTAGCTGCCAGAAACCTGATGAAGCATCCAGTTTACTGAACCATTTAGCTCCAGCAAACTGTGCCATGATTTCTTCTCTGGTTGGTAACTTAAAATGTTCTCTTTTGATTGCTTTGTTTAAATCTCTTGGATCCAGGCAAGTTCTCAAAGCACCTGTTTTCTTTTGCACAACGACCAGCGAGCTTACCCATTCAGTTGGCTCATCTATTTTCTTGATGACTCCCAGTTTTTCCATGCGCACCAGTTCTTCTTTCAGTTTGTTCCGGAGTGCAAACGGGATCTTCCTGCACGGATGTACAACAGGAGACACGCTTTTATCCACACATATTTTATGTTCTCCAGGTAAACATCCAAGTCCCTCAAAACAGTCTTTATATTCCTCCATGAGTGAGTCATGGTCATTCACAGTACCTGGCGACGTCACTACAAACACTCTTTTGACGAGATTGAGCTTTGTACATGTCTTTAGTCCTAGGACTGGTTGCACATTTGCATCCACAATTAGCAGCTGCGCCTGTATCTGCTGACCTTTGTGTTGAAAGGTTGCGATGCACCCACCTTTAACAGGTATGCGTTCTCCAGTGTATCCTGTCACTTTTGTTTTTATGGGATGAATTTTGCTTTTTACAGTCATAATTTTATAATCCTCCCATGATAACAGGTTTACATGTGCACCTGTGTCTAACTTGAATGGTATAACTGTCTCATTTACTTTGATTGGCATTATCCATTCCTCGTTTTCTGTTGCACATGCTTGTACCACATCCACTATGAACTCACTATCATCCTCGTCTTCTTCATCAACTGCGTGAACCTTCTTCTTTGCGGCAGCTTTGCAACATCTTGCATAATGATTGCTTTTCCCACAGTTGTTACAGGATTTTCCATATGCTGGACAAGATTTTGGTTTGTGAGTGCCTGCACATTTACCACATTTAAATTCTGCAGATTTCTCTTTCTGTTTGGTAAATGTCTTTTTTCTCATCTGCTCTTTATGCACTGCATGCACTGTTGTTTCATCTCTCCGTAGCTCTTTTGCTTGTGCTCGTGTAGTTTCTGCTGCCCTACACATAGTGACACACTTATCTAATGTTAGTCCAGTTTCTCTGAGCAGTCTTTCTCTAAGTGCATTATCCACAGTGCCACAAACAATCCTGTCTCTCACTAACGAGTCCCTCAGATTGCCAAATTCATATGTTTTACTTAATGTGTGAAGCTCTGCTAAGTACTGATCAAAAGGAAGTCCATGTTTCTGGTTATGAGTGAAAAACTTGTACCTCTCAAAGGTCACGTTCTGCTTAGGCACAAAATATTCTTCAAACTTTTCCATTAGCTGTGCTAACGTGATATTAGCTTCGTCCAGCTGGAAACTGTTATATATGTCCAAAGCATCTTCTCCCATCACATGCAAAAGTATGTTGGCTTTTAGCTTCTCATCCTCAGCTCCTGCACCGCTTGCTGTTAGATATGTTAAATCTTTGCTTGAAACGTTTCCAGTTATCAGCAAGATTACCAGTCAATTGCATAGCAGTGGGTGGACTTAGCTTATCCATGACGTCGGGGTATCGAGACTTCCACCACCCTCTCTCTGCGGTAGCTGTCCTCCAATTCAGGTACTAGATCCTTTTTTTTTTTTTTTTCAGTCCGTACCTCGTCCCCTTGCTTCACTTCCACTGCTTGCAGCCACTACACGCCTTCGTGGAGAAGAAAAAGAAGAAAAAAAAAGAAAAACTGCCGCAGCCTGTTGCGCTGCGAGCTTTTGCTCTCTTTTTCTTTTTATCTTTCTACCGTGTGGCTCCCCCGTGGCAAATCTTCATTCCGCGACTGCCAACGGCCACTTCTGACACCATGTGTTGTTCTTCGTTTCTATAAGAGACGAGGCGTGTATGCTTGTTCTGTATATTTATTTAGAACTTCACAGAACCATCCAGTAGCAAGCTACATCCCGAACCGCAGCCCGCTCTGACCTCCAACCCGTGACGCCATGCCCTGTTGCATGCTGGGTATTGGAGTTCAAGAGCTTTCCAGCTCATAACATCACAAAAAGATTAAAAGGAAATGATCAACACAGAGACAGGGTTTTGTGACGTCAACGTCTGCCGGGTGGAGAGAAGCTGCTGGCTCGGAAAACCAGCACCTTCTCACACAGATCCCTTCAAAGCAAAGCCTTTTATTAACAGTTTACAACATCAAACAGGCGGGCCTAAAACAGAAGAGCCAGTAATGATTGTCTGAGAGGATGCAGGTAACAAGATAGTGTGAATTGACCAACTGGCTGGATGGAAGTCACACAACCGTGTGATTCTGACTGGAGGTCATAAAAGTTTATGACCCTTCTGGTTGATTCACAGGATAGACATGTAGCATCCTCTTTCTTTCAATGTTTCATATGTCCACACAATAATTTTATAATTATCACTCTAACATATTCCATGTAAAACAACAGAACCAGAGGAAAGTGACCTATTGGTTCAAAGGAAAAGTGTTAAAACTGCTGCTTCTCATGGTACAAAATGTTCAAATACTTGGATTTTATATCTCAATGGTTATTTTGGTAATTCTGTTTCTTAGTAACTCCAAATGTTAAAGTACAGGGTTGCTAAATATATTTGATTGGTTTTGTTGCTTAGTTAAGTAACCACCTACTTTGATTTCAGCTAAAGTTATACTTATTACATAAAAAATGTTAAATAAGGTTAATGTTCAGTGTTATGCTACACGGGTACGAGTAGAGAATAAAAAGAGGAGTAGAAGAAGTGATATAGAAAAAAGAAGAAGACCTGATGTTACTGTTTGCTGAACGAGTTCTTAAATAAAGCTGTTAAGAGTTCTTTGCCTACGTGAGCTTCTACCTCGTCCTGGATACTACACATAACACTGGGTAAACCCTGTCCGCCCTCCAACGAACAAGTCTATTACTGGAACAACCCACAACGACTGGATTCCACGTAAACACCTTTTTCTGGAAACGTGAATCCTGTTGCCTTTATTCCCTTCTTCAAATCAAAGACACAAATTTCCCACTGAGCCTGAACTAACCGCAGTCCCGGTTTGACAGTGTTCAGAGCAGCACTGGACTCCTCTCTACCAACTCACAATAAAACCTGTAAAACTTTTCCCTGGACTCTCTGTTTGGTTTTCTGCACGTGGGTCAGATTTTTAGATAAAATCATGACATAGTGAGCCTCAGCAGGTGGCCGCTCACACTGAGCCTGGTTCTGCTGGAGGTTTCTTCCTGTTCAAAGGGAGTTTTTCCTCTCCACTATCGCTACAAGCATGCTTAGTGTGAGGGATTGCTGAAGAGTCAATGAGTCGATGCAATCAGCTGGTTTTCCTTAGATGGAAAACTTTGAATCAATCTTACTGGATGATCTGGTGAACTGGAAAGTGTCTTTAGATGACGTGTTGTGAATTGGCGCTATAGAAATAAACTGAATAGAATTAAATTGATATTTTAGTTTTTTTTTTTACGTATATCTAAAATGATAAAAGCTATGAGTTATAAACGTTTAGGGCCAACAACACTGCCTTGAGGGATCTCTTAGTTCATTCAGAAATGTATAAACATCCACACCTTAAGCTCTCTGCGGGTTTATTCTTAGATTTTGGACGTGTAAAGTGACGATCTCACTGAGAAGTGAGGAAGGGATGAGCTCGGGAAATCTGTTGGCATGGCATCGAAAAATTTCAAGGCATGAAGACAAAATAGATGAAACCAAGCAGCCAGAGAGAGAGAAAAAAATCCCAGAAGTAAAAAAAAACTCTGCTGCTGACAAGTGGGTGTCAGAGAAGAGCAGCGCATTTTCTCCCTGAGGTAATCGGCCAACGGCAACTCTGCTACATGAGTCATGACTCTCGGTTCACAAAGGGAGCTGCAAATATAGGAACCCCTCTGTGTAGTCTAAAATGCTGGATATGAGAGAAAATTTATATATTTGTGTAGATTTTCTTCTTGTTCATTTGTAGTTTTTACAAACATGTGGTTAGACTTTTCCCCCTCCCATCTGAGTGTGCCAACAATCAATTTAGTTGTTTAGAATGTATGGGATGCCAATACAGCCAATGCATCTACGTCTGGATTGTGAAATGCTTGTTGCACAGTTTTACAAATACATTATCATTTACATGAATTTGTGAAATAACTTCAAAGATTTAATTCTCTCAAATCTAACTTTAAAGAATGGTAAGATAAATGACAGGAATAATTATGTAAAAAAAAACATAAAACAAAGTTTTAATATTGAAATATATTTTATTAAACGAGAAAAGTTTACAAATGAATAATTGCCCTTTTGGGGTGCTGTTGGACGTATAACTGACTTAAAACACAAAGATGGCGGGCATGCTTATTTCAAAATCCTAATTTTAAAGTGAACTTATAACTAAGATTTTCAATAAATAGAGTAGAGAGAAAATAGAGTATGAGGTATTACGTGCAAGTAAAAAAAAACATGCATCCATTCATCCATCTTCTCCCGCTTATCCTTCATGGTCAGAGGGGGCTGATGGGTTTATGCAGCAGTCTGTGGTTGAAAATCCTGCATGAAATGGAAGAACATGCAATCCCCATGCAGAAACAGGGGTACAAACAGACAAAATCATTTAAACAGTGTTTAAATACCTTATTTTTGATGTATTACCTTTTATTACTCTATATCTTGTTATATGTAACACAGAACTGGAGTCTTATATTCTTTTAGGTTTCAGGCATATTTGTTTTGATCAATTGAGATCTATTGAAAAGTTTTATTTCTGAATTGCATTTTCTATCGCTTTTAGAAAACAATTACATGTTTTCTTTGCATGCACTCGATTAAATCGCTGAAGAGCCAGTTGGCAGAGAGGGGGTTGCAGAGCAGAGGATAGAGTTCTGACAGCTGCCCCATGAGCCAAACCTGCATCCTTTTTCTCCGGTTATCATGTTCAGAGGAAACATGGACATTGGTTCCTCATGTTTTATGGCACAACATATCCCCCTTTATGTCCAGTCTTTATTGGTTAGACTTGCTGCTGCTTTTCACCGGTCTCTTCAGGAGTTACAGTGTTTTCTTTTATGTTTGGCAGATTAACCAGTTGTGAATATTGGCCGGGTCCAGTACACATCTGACCACTCAGGGACTGTTTTTGTCTTGTTGTCATCCAAGCTGTTCTCAGTGACAACTTTAGCTCTGGGGGAGGTTTAAAAACTTAGTGCACCTCTGTTAGAGCAGAGCAGGCTGAGTAGGACGCAGGAGTGAACCTCTCTCTTCTCATTCTTGCAAGAATTGCATAATTAAAGTGCCACTGTGTTTAAGCCGGGCATACAGTGTGCAATATTATCAATCGTTACACGCAGCCACATGCATGATGTTTGTGCTCACACTGTAGGTCCAAAAACAAGATGTCTGCTCAGCGCCGAAAGATGGGGCTGGTCAGACTCGTCAATCTGTGAGAAGAAGAAGAACTCCCTTGTTTGCACATGCGCAGTGCTCAAGGTGATGGTAAATCGGCTCGTAGCTTTACTTCAACGGCAGAATTTACCCACCAACACCTTACGATGGCCGACCGAATTTTAAACATCATTGACGTGACTCGGCCTGATCAAACAATCCTCGCACGACTGGAGAATCGTCCCAAAATGGGGAAAAAATCGTACAGTGTATGCCTGGCTTTAGGTACAAATTTTATGTTTTCATTTACAGTTCAAATGACTTTATCTAAATACACATTTATTTAAATATATCTATTTAATAAGCCCTGAGATTTAAGTGTTAAATAAATTCTTCCAGTAAGTCACTTCCATCCATCTGTATGTTTGTGCTGCTGGTTCTCCAGAACTGCCTCCAATGATTTCTATTTCAACTCAGGTTTTCAAAGAACTTTTCTGGGATTATCTTCAGTGGCGTTTCATTCAGCGTGTTGAAATATGGGAAGAGTTTCTCTGTAAATGTATAGGAGAAGGTGTGAATGAGTGTGTTGGTATCAAGGTCAAGGAACAGCAGCTTTCCTCTGTTCCAGTCCAAAAGGACTCTAATCCTGCTTAGCTTTGCGACTGGAGACAGAACAAGGGAAGGTTCTGATAGGGCCCGAGCGACATATTCCCCATCCAGGCACCCTATTCTCCACAGACGGGTCGGATGAATTCCTTTCCTCTGGACTCCCTGTGAAGCGACGCCCACAAACCAGTCTGTGTTTTCTCCAACATCAACGTCCCAGCTGTAGATTCCTGACATGAAGCCCTCAGAGCCCAGGACGATGCGGAAGAAGTCGAACCTCTCTGGGTTGTCCGGGAGGTTCTGTTTCTGTCCGCATCTCAGCATGGTCAGATCCTCGGACAGGATGAGCTCAAAGTTGGCCGTGTTCGGGTCCAGAACCACAGGAGTGTAGGACACCAGATGTTTCATCTTGCTCCAGATGTTGAAGGGGAGGTTTCCCAGGTGTTTGGCCACATCTATCAGGGCCCCTGAGACGGGCTGCGGGTCGTCCAGCAGGGGGCGCTGTCGGAGAGTTTGCACAGCAGTCTTGAATTTCAGCAGCAACAAAGCATCCTCAGCTTTCAGCATTCCTTCTGTTTCATTGATGCTCCTGGAAAGAGCAGCAATCTCTTTATTGAGGGCATCAATCTTTAGGTTTAACGTCTGGATCTTCTTGCTTTCTTCTGTCCTCAGAGCAGCAATCCTGGTGTCTTCTTCCCTCTGGAGAAACAGACGTAGCTTCCTGAACTGCTCCCTGATCCGTCCCTCCGTCTGTTCAGCCTGGAGCTTAACGTGCTTCACCGTCTCATTCAGGTTTCCTTTCTCCTCTCTGAAGACCTTCAGCTTCTGCTGTAGGGGCCCCAGGGCCTTTCTGAGCACTTTCTTCTGCCCCTCAGCAACTTCACTGATTGGTTTGAATCTGTGTCCAGCATGTTCATCTGAATGCTGACAAACGAGACACAAAGGCTCCCTGTGCTCCACGCAGAAGAGTTTGAATTTCTCACCGTGGAGACGGCAGATAACCTCTGGCTTTGGAGCAACTTTTCTATTCTTCTTACAAAGAGGACACTCCAGTATGTCTTTACCATGCAAACAGCTTTCCATGCAGGATCTACAGAAGCTGTGGCTGCAGAACAGGACGCCAGGATCCCTGAAGGTATCCTGGCAGATGGAGCAGCGAAGATCGTCGTCCAAAATCACAGACATCACTGTTTTCAATGATAAACTCTCCTGGGAGGAAATCAGTGATTCATGCATCCACACCACAGCTGGAACAGTGTAGACTGTGAATGGCGTGTTCATAACAAACAGGAGGAAGGACATGCCATCACTGGCTCCACCCCGTTCCATTTCCACGCCATCACAGGGACGGGGTGGAGTGTTTGTCGTGTAATAGAAGTCTTACCTAAAAAGATTCAGGGCCAGGGTTTAAGGACTTTTTTCCCATTATTGTTTCAAGCAAAGAACAGATTTTATAAATGGAAATGTAAACTTAACCCACAGACATACAGTAATCTCTACCTGTCAGTTATGGTGGTGCTGTTTTGCATATAATCATAGTGTTATCGTTGTTAAGTTTAAACAAAAATTAGGGGGAAATATTTAGAAAAAGCCTGAGCTGAAAAATTTAAAGCAAAGCTATTTCCACCTGAAACCACAGAGCGTCACAGGAAATCATTCCTACCTGTGGAATTTATAGAATAATTATCAAGTCTATAAATCCCCTAACTTCATGGCTGTGGTCCCAACTGGTCTGCTATTCCAGAACACAGAGGGGGATTTACCTGTTACAAATCTAGCTCCCCTAGTGGCTTTTTTTTGTATCTCACTTTTACATAACAGTGAAAATACCCTAAAGGTACAGGTGCTGGTCATAAAATTAGAATATCATGAAAAAGTGGATTGATTTCAGTAATTCCATTTAAAAAGTGAAACTTGTATATTATATTCATACATTACATACAAACTCATATATTTCAGATGTTTATTTTGTTTAATTTTGATGATTAAAAATGACAACAAATGAAAATCTCAAATTCATCATATCAGAAAATTAGAATATTACTGAAGACCAATAAAAACAAAGGATTTATAGAAATGTTGGCCAACTGAAAAGTATGAACATGAAAAGTATGAGCATGTACAGCACTCAGTATTTAGTTGGGCCTCCTTTGGCCTGTATTACTGCAGCAATGCGGCGTGGCATGGAGTCGATCAGTCTGTGGCACTGCTCAGGTGTTATGATAGCCCAGGTTGCTCTAATAGTGGCTTTTAGCTCTTCTGAATTGTTGGGTCTGGTGTATTGCATCTTCTTCTTCACAATACCCCATAGATTTTCTATGGGGTTAAGGTCAGGAGAGTTTGCTGGCCAATTAAGAACAGGGATACCATGGTCCTTCAACCAGGTACTGGTAGCTTTGGCACTGTGTGCAGGTGCCAAGTCCTGTTGGAAAATGAAATCTGCATCTCCAAAAAGTTGGTCAGCTGCAGGAAGCATGAAGTGCTCTAAAACTTCCTGGTATGTGGCTGCGTTGACCCTGGACCTCAGAAAACACAATGGACCAACACCAGCAGATGACATGGCACCCCAAACCATCACTGACTGTGGAAACTTTACACTGGACTTCAAGCAACGTGGATGAAGTGCCTCTCTTCTTTTCCTCCAGACTCTGGGACCTTGATTTCCAAAGGAAATGCAAAATTTACTTTCATCAGAGAACATGACTTTGGACCACTCACCAGCAGTCCAGTCCTGTTTCTCTTTAGCCCAGGCAAGACGCTTCTGACGCTGTCTGTGGTTCAAGAGTGGCTTGACACAAGGAATGCGACAGCAGAAACCCATGTCTTTCATACGTCTGTGTGTGGTGGTTCTTGAAGCACTCACTCCAGCTGCAGTCCACTCTTTGTGAATCTCCCCCACATTTTTGAAGGGGTTTTGTTTCACAATCCTCTCCAGGGTGCGGTTATCTCTCTTGCTTGTACACTTTTTTCGACCACATCTTTTCCTTCCCTTCGCCTCTCTATTAATGTGCTTGGACACTGAGCTCTGTGAACAGCCAGCCTCTTTAGCGATGACCTTTTGTGTCTTGCCCTCCTTGTGCAAGGTGTCGATGGTCGTCTTTTGGACAACTGTCAAGTCAGCAGTCTTCCCCATGATTGTGTAGCCTATAGAACTAGACTGAAAGACCATTTAAAGGCTTTTGCAGGTGGTTTGAGTTAATTAGCTGATTAGAGTGTGGCACCAGGGGCCATCAATTTTGAACCTTTTCACAATATTCTAATTTTCTGATATGATGAATTTGAGATTTTCATTTGTTGTCATTTGTAATCATCAAAATTAAACAAAATAAACATCTGAAATATATGAGTTTGTATGTAATGTATGAATATAATATACAAGTTTCACTTTTTAAATGGAATTACTGAAATCAATCTACTTTTTCATGATATTCTAATTTTATGACCAGCACCTGTATGTTCAGACCTGAGGCTAATTTTTGTGAAGTTAGGAAGCTAAGGCGGAGGCCTTTCTTGCAAAAAATAAGGTTCAAATTTCTTTCACATCCTCTCTGACTGCAGCAAGCTCAGTACATACATTTATACCTTATAAAATCACACATACTCCCTGCAGAGGAACCAACCACCTGTATGAAGAACTTTCTCACACTTGAACATTTGGTTATGATGAAAAAGCACTGCAATTCATCAAGGACATAAATTTTAGCCATATAAACACTCAGAACAGGCATGAAGGAGGCTGTGAACTCATTCTTATCTCTCATGACCCTCCCTTCATCAGAATCAGAAACATACACTATATTGCCAAAAGTATTTGCTCACCTGCCTTGACTCACATATGAGCTTAAGTGACATCCCGTTCCTAATCCATAGGGTTCAATATGACGTCGGTCCACCCTTTGCAGCTAGAACAGCTTCAACTCTTCTGGGAAGGCTGTCCACAAGGTTTAAGAGGGTGTTTATGGGAATTTTTGACCATTCTTCCAGAAGCGCATTTGTGAGGTCGCACACTGATGTTGGACGAGAAGGCCTGGCTCTCAGTCTCCGCTCTAATTCATCCCAAAGGTGTTCTATCGGGTTGAGGTCAGGACTCTGTGCAGGCCAGTCAAGTTCATCCACACCAGACTCTGTCATCCATGTCTTTATGGACCTTGCTTTGTGCACTGGTGCACAGTCATGTTGGAAGAGGAAGGGGCCAGCTCCAAACTGTTCCCACAAAGTTGGGAGCATGGAATTGTCCAAAATGTCTTGGTATGCTGAAGCATTCAGAGTTCCTTTCACTGGAACTAAGGGGCCAAGCCCAGCTCCTGAAAAACAACCCCACACCATAATCCCCCCTCCACCAAACTTTACACTTGGCACAATGCAGTCAGACAAGTACCGTTCTCCTGGCAACCGCCAAACCCAGACCCGTCCATCAGATTGCCAGATGGAGAAGCGCGATTCGTCACTCCAGAGAACGCGTCTCCACTGCTCTAGAGTCCAGTGGCGGCGTGCTTTACACCACCGCATCCGACGCTTTGCATTGCACTTGGTGATGTATGGCTTGGATGCAGCTGCTCGACCATGGAAACCCATTCCATGAAGCTCTCTGCGCACTGTTCTTGAGCTAATCTGAAGGCCACATGAAGTTTGGAGGTCTGTAGTGATTGACTCTGCAGAAAGTTGGCGACCTCTTCGCACTATGCGCTTCAGCATCCGCTGACCCCGCTCCGTCAGTTTACGTGGCCTACCACTTCGTGGCTGAGTTGCTGTCGTTCCCAAACACTTCCATTTTCTTATAATACAGCTGACAGTTGACTGTGGAATATTTAGGAGCGAGGAAATTTCACGACTGGATTTGTTGCACAGGTGGCATCCTATCACAGTTCCACGCTGGAATTCACTGAGCTCCTGAGAGCGACCCATTCTTTCACAAATGTTTGTAAAAACAGTCTGCATGCCTAGGTGCTTGAATTTATACACCTGTGGCCATGGAAGTGATTGGAACACCTGATTCCAATAATTTGGATGGGTGAGCAAATACTTTTGGCAATATAGTGTATATATATATATATATATATATATATATATATATATATATATATATATATATAGTAATTTATATATATACACACATCCAAAACACAATATAATAAAGATAAAAATAAGAATAAAAAGAGATAAAATATATACACATATAGCTCTTCTGTATATATATATATGTATATATCTATTGTTAAGGAAGAAAATATTCTAAATAGTTAACTTTGGAAAAAGGTTAGGTGTTTCTCTTCCTCTCCCAGGTGCGCTCAGCGAGCTGCGTGTGGCCCCCAAGGAAAACCAGCAAGATATGCGAACGTCACAGAATCACAGAATTTAATCCAACAAAAAACAGCTTATGAGTTAACAACAAAACTGCAGAACAACAGAAACATACATTCAGTTACCTGAGGTAAAGAAAAATAGAAAAGAGAGGCAAAGACGCGTCTTTGGAGAGAGCTGGTGCAAAAGCAAAAAAGTGGCAGCTATCTGAATTTTTGCCCCTGTGCCCAAAATTTTATAATGTAGATAAGACTTAGACTTAGACTTAGACTTCTTTATTTGTCATTTTGTATGCACAGGGTGCATACAGAACGAAATTGCGTTACATACAGCTTATGAACGTTGCATTGATATTTCACAATGGCACGAGTTATAGAAAAATACAAAAAGTGCAGCAGTGGTCAAAGTGTGAACAGTGCAGAGGATAAGAGACAGTGTGCAAGTTGCAGTGGTTCAGTGCAAAATGGCATTTGTGCAAAAAATGCGTTATTGAAAAATACAATGAGATGAACAATTTAAAGGGCTAAAAGTTAAAAGTTCAGCAGCATTTGATGCCCGATAATGTGCAATAGGTGCAGAGTTCGGATTGTGGATCAAAGGTTCAACAGTCTGATGGCAGTGGGGAAGAAGCTGTTGCACAACCTGGTGGATCTGCAGCGGATGCTGCGGAACCTCTTTCCAGAGGGCAGCAGGGAGAACAGTCCATGGTGGGGGTGTGAGGGGTCTTTGATGATATTACGGGCTCGGGACACACAGCGCTGTGATGAAATGTCCTTAATGGAGGGAAGAGGAGCCCCAATGATTCCTTCCGCTGTCCTCACCACCCTCCTCACATTCTTCCAGTCAGAAGCTCTGCAGCCTCCACACCACAGAGAGAGACAGCTGGTCAGAACGCTCTCTATGGTGCTTCTGTAGAAGGTTGTGAGGATGGGCGGGGGCAGGCGGGCTCTCCTCATC